ACGAGGAAGACGCGCTTGTTCAAAATCTCATCGTTCTCATCGTGAGCGGCGACAACAATTCCTGGAAGGGTCAATATTCGGGAGTGGGCCGTGTGCGCACAAGGTGAAGACTCACCTGCCCCGTCTGCTCCTAGTGTGCTGCCGGATACAATCCCAGGGTATTGACCTCGTCGTATCCAGAGCTAACAATGCAGAGAAAGGTCACCGCAGCGTCCTTCCATCTTTTGAGTGATCCCAAGCACACCTCTCTGTGGTTGAAACCAGCCGCGTTGATTTTCACGAGTATTTCACCGGGTTTAAGCGCAGGAATGGGCCTTTCCACGACACGCACATCATTGTGCAGGGATTTATTCTGTTGCTCGCGCTGGTTTTGTAAAACGAGGGCCTTGAACGAGGATGGAAACCGATGAGTTGCTGGCATGACTGTGACTGGCTCGGGCAAGCGCCCAGGTGCCCAGGTCCAAACGCCGCGCGCTGAGTCCCAGAACTAGTGCTGAGCGCTGAGTGGCAGTCCGACCTCTGATCCGCCCAGCCACAAAATTATCAGCTGTTTTGGAGAACACACACTAGTTCGAGTTCGCAAGTTCTAACGGCGTCGAGGTGGGGCCTGGCAGCTGTCAGACTTCTTGGCAGTTTCTTGGCCCATTTTGCCGGACAATACGCGAAGGACAGTGGACTGTAAGACCAACAGCCGTTTTCGCATGGGTCTGACTCTGCTGAGTGCAGTACTATGTCTCTTTCTACCCACACCTACGCGTGCAAAAGCTGACTTCTTTTCCAAAGATGCTGTATGGCGGTGATAGGCGCCATAGGCGCCTGTGCACCCTCACAGGCGGCAGGCCGCAGCATACCCTATTAACAAACTTGGAGGTATCGAGCTCGGCTGCAATGTCTCAATCCGGTGCTCGTATTCCCTTTCTGCGGTCTGAAATGAAAAACTCTCGACTTTAACCTCGACTCAACGGCATCGATAATTGGCCAACTACGCTAGAGTAGATCAGGTAAGTGTAATACTACGTCACCTCGTTGACTCATATAAGACAGTAAACTGCTTCAGGTTCAGGAAAGGAGAAACGTTACATTAGAGGTGTAACATGTGTACTATAACAAGTACTTTAAATGAGGGGGCAAAAGCTGCAAAACAAGGTTTGAACTGCGCAATAAAGAGTCCCTCTGTTGATAGGCCCTCTGGCACCAGGCTTCGCAGTGAAATGCACACCGCCAAACGGATTGCGGAGGTGACATGAATGTGCGACGAGTGAGAATTCGGTATAAACAGTTGGCTCTAGCACGTGCCCTTGCTTACCCCTTTCACGTTTCACCGTGACGATCGCCAGTACTATCTCCTGTATATGAACATGCTACTTTGCACGCGCCGCCTTTCGCACACATTACTCCAATCTTCACTTTTCAATTCTCCTCTTCGACACTACCACTATAAGGCCTCTTATCCGATTGTGCCCTCAATACCAGGCTTAACCCCCCACCATGGCTCCACTCATAGTGTATCTGAGTCCGAGTCGGTAGCACCTTCGCTGGAAGGGAGCCAGGAGACTCGGTTTCAGTCTAAAATGAAGGCTCTGATCGAGCGCGAGCTAAGGGGCGCAACATACTATGTTGATCTGACTACTGAGGATGGCATCCTTCACGCGGACCCCAGAATCGTGGAAGTCGTGAACGACGGCTTGCGAGCCACCTTTCAGGCGCTAATCTCTGGGGGCCACTCGTCCGCAACCAAACCCCGGTTCCCCATAAATCGCTTTTCACGCGAAACTCGATCATACAGGCCTTTAGTACAACTACTAAACAAGATAATCGATACCGCCAATCGATACATGCCACGATCTCAGCTCAGTGGACTCCACTTTTACCCTTTCAGGGGTGAGGTCAAAGAAACACCGGCATACGACAGCCATATGGGCTTGAAGCCAGACGGTGTTGGCATCATCAGCAAGCTTTCAACCAAAAGAAAGAAGTCTGCCAAAAAGCCTGCTAAAGAGCCCGAGTTATCTTGGGAACAAATCGAAGTTTTCATCGCATCCAAGTCCTCAGTGAAGAATATGCTCCGGAAATCCGGGACCTTCGCCCGTTGTTGTCTCATTGGCAACCAAAGGCGCTTCTTCTCCTTCGGCATAGGCTTCGACTATAAAAAAATGGAAGCATATGTTCTAGTTTTTCATCGGTCCGGGCTGTCATCATCCCGACCTCTTAAACTTACGACACGCGAAGGTTTCAAGGGTCTTGTGAAGTACATCGTCGGCATCCTATCCTTCAAGGATGAGGCCGCTTACGGCCTGGATACCACGCGCTTTCAAAAGTTCTTTCGTATCAACAACCGCTACTATGAAATTGACCATCTCCTTTACATGAGCGGGAGCTTCCGGGGTCGTTCCACCACCGTATACCGCTTGCAGGGTATGTACACATGCGGATTTTGAATGTAGGAGTTCACTTATTTATCACATACCCAGCCTCCAAAGACATACCTCAACGTGACCTGGAATCACGGACTCTAATGTTGTCCGAAGGGATAACTCACCTCCCGGATGAGCTTACATACAAACTGATGTACTCCGTCAAAGGACAGTCTCAGGAGGGCCCACTACTTTCCAAATTTAATGGCCAATTTGGCATCACAGATGTCATTGGTTACCACGACTGTGGGCCGGAAGAACCCCATGGTTCCACAAGGCGACTTTTGAAAGATGCCGAGTTTTGGAGAGTTTTTCGACAACAGGACATCCCTGAAGGTAGACATCATGAACCTGAAGAAAGAGGGCTACAATGCATCGCTCTCTCCGGGAAGGGGAGGCTCTCATAGATCTCCAAAATTCACATGGAGGTACACCATCTCCGGGTGAACTTTTGGAGTCCATTCTCCATGCTATTATCGGCAAGTAGATTTCCCTCTATGCCTTACTTTTTCTCTCACGTTCTCCGATCTAGGCCATTACAACCTATTTGATAAGGGTATCTTGCACCGGGACATCAGTGCTGGAAACATATTACGCTACTCAGAGCCCATCAGGCGCCCCCCATTAGACAAGTAAAGGCTCCTTGTTTTATACTTTTGTCAGTCTAGATATTGATATGTTCATTAGGTTTGAGTGCACAAGAAGCGTGGATTATTGTCGGGATTTCTAATTGATGGTGATCAGGCAGTTAAATGGCGTGAATTCCCCGGCTCACAGACAATCTCAGTATGTGACTGGAATTACATTGTCTCTTTGAATCCCCTGGACTTACAAAATGCTTCTTAGGGCACGCTCCCCTTCCTCTCTTTGCGCCTTCTAGAATCTTGGAATTTCGACGGCCAGTGATCCACACTGCCCTTGATGACCTTGAGTCATTCCTTTGGGTCCTCCTTTGGGGTATTGTCTACACTTCCAAGGATATCGAGGCGGCAATGACCGCCAACAAAGGAATCCAATTCATGCTCGACGTGTGGTCGGTGACCTGTTGACTAACATGGCCAAAATGACAGCCGCAGGGATGTTATGGGAGGATGCTGTCTTTGGAGATCTCATCCAAGAATGGTTGGATATATTCCGCAAAGCAAATAAAGAAAACAGGCGAGTCACCAAAGTATGTCTATCATGCATTTGGGTAGCAAGAATGGGATGACGCATGCAACGAGCTTGAATCATATTGTAAGGATATTTACAAGGAGGTTCTTGAGTCCGGGTTCAAATACCTTGAAGGAGTTAGAGGGTACTCTGACTGGGAAAGTGCGGTGGCTGCAAATGTCCGTAGGCTTTGGGATACGACGACAATAGTAGGCAGGGGGGGAGACGGGCTGAAGGATAACCGGTGATCCTTGCACCCCCTGGGACAGGTGATGAGCACAACGACTGGGCCTTTGGGAGCTTCGCAGGATGCAGACGCTACAGCGGGTAAATAGATGTGGTCGATGCTCATTGGTTCATCTCGTCGGGCTGTGCATACGGTATTCGGTCACGGTAATATAAATAATGAATCACGCTGTGCGACCATTCTAGCGGCAGTAGTCAGTACTAGTCAGTGCCCAGCACTCATTGCCAGTGAGCCTCCATCCATCATAATAAAGATCTGAATCCACAATGCACCCGGGTGAAACTGAAGAGGCTCAAACATTCTCAAGCCTATAGAGCACACGCGAGACGCCAATCGCAATCTGCTGCTGCACGACGAATAAAATTCGTTATCTCCTGGAGGTCCGCCGGCCCTTGCATCTGTCGTCAAGCCTATAATAGTAGCTCCGAATCACCGGTTGGAACATAATTTCATCTTCCTGGCCTGACTTTCTTGAATTGTCATTTTGTTCCACAGTACTCGCTCATCGTGAATGATGGGGCGCCAGTGGCGCGCAATCTCCGCATCTGCTCGTGACATATACATGTACGCCGACTCCGAGGGCGAAGCATAGCTTTAATGCGAGGAGCGCGACGCCGCGCCGATGCCTGTGACAATGACGATGTGTCCGCGCGTGACAGGGGCATTACTTAACTATACTTGGCCCTATTTTTGTCGTCAGCGCACGAAAATGCAATAGATATTTTGTATAGCAATATAATGAGCGGTCGCACATACCTCCGAGTCCAGGCTGTGACTCCCGCGACGGGCCAGGCGGCCGTGTGTACGTCATCGACATCGAGGTGCGCGGGTGTCATGACTTGATCGCGCGATACGATGCAGCAGGTGGAGAAGGTGGGTTGTTCCCGCCCCCGAGGAGGCCGAACCTTACGGGTCCAGGGAGCAAGTGGATCCTTCTCCCATCCGTGTTGGAACGAGGAAGACGCGCTTGTTCAAAATCTCAGCGTTCTCGTCGTGAGTAGCATTTCCCGGAATGGTTCAATAGGGGAGCTCACGGCTGGCGCAGTTGGCCGCAGTTCACATTTGGTCGCAGTTTGCATTTGAGATTTACATGAGTCGGAACATGACCGATTTGTGAAATTCACATGACAAGTTCGTGCAAAATAAACAAAAATTTGGGCAAATCCGGCAGTACAGTATCGAAACAGTAACCAACCGAGATTTGAACCCAGGCCCCCAGATGTATACAGATACATGCCAAGCACTTTAACCACTAGGCTACCAAGCCATAGCTCAGACCAACCACAGTTGCACTATACAGTATGATGCTCAATCTGGGCTCCCCCAAACCACGTCTCACAATCGCACACCTTTTCACCAAAGCATTATTTAAATTATCTTGATAAACTGGAACGAACTAGTCATGTGAATTTCACAAGCAAAACATCAGCCGTGGTCGCGTGAGGCGAGGGAGAGTCGTGACAAACGTAACACAGTCTCGTCACAAATCGCGCCGGCCGTGAGCGCGTGAGCGCATGAGCTCCCCTAATATTTGGGTGTTTTTTTGGTAGAGTAGGCCGGGTGCGCACTAGCGTGCACTACAGTACTCGAGTACTAATACATCATCCAGGCTGCCACGCCCATCTTCAACGTATAATTCGAGTGCCGCCAGCTTGTACGCTGGTGGTCATCGTCTGGAACATCAGCAAAGGACAGATTGAACGACGATGATCACAGGTAAGTTGCCAGTGTTATCACAACCCCTCATTCCTCATCGTTCTTCTGCTCCCTTATATGGTCCGTGGTGGTGCTGCGAAAGCGCCTAGGCTTGTATGACAGTTCAACGTTCAATTCCCACCTCGATGCGAACAGAACAACATGTAAGCATGTTCATTTTCCCTTTCGCAATTTTGACCCACCCTTCGAGCACAGAGCAGATACGGATGCACGGGACTACGACAACAGCACTCGTTTACAGCTGGCCTCGCACTGGCCATGCACTTGTGACCGCAGCAACTGGGCTTCACTACATGGGAAAGGAAGGCACCTCCTCAAACGCATTGCGGATCCACAGTCGCCACGCAGCTCGTCCATCTGCGGTCTGAGTCATGTCCAGTCATGTTCAGGCGGCCTCCGACCCTCGTTCCTCCCGCTGCCATGTCCATCCTCTTCTCAGGAAGAGTAGTGCAGAGTCTGACAGCTGCAAGTCGCCGTCCAGACTCGTCCAGGCCACGCGGCCCACGCATCGTGGCATCCTCCATCGACATCATCAAGGTCAACTCTTCCAAGGCCATCGCCTTCAATTAATATTTCCCCTAAACTGCACCTCCGACTGAGCAATTGTGTCAGGTATCTGCACGCGACGAGTGGCTCATTATTGGCGTGAATCTAGGTTTCGCTCCAGTCGGTGGGGATCCTGGTTGGCTCTCATGGTGCGGACCTGTCATAGCACAACAGCTACAGCAGCTGTACAATGACGTCTTATGCCACTTTGATCAAGTTTACATTAGTAGCATCGTTGCTTGACTGAGGAACTCGCAGGCATCGAGTCAATTACCTGCTCAGCCTCCGCAGTCTCTCCCTCTTTTCAGCTCACTCGAACTTCATACATCCAACTCATGCCCCCTTCTCGGACAGTCAAGTCCGACGCCTGATCGTGTACGTGATTGTGCGCTTCTCAGGTTTGAGGTGTGTTGTCTACCCTCATGTTTTTCTTTTTCCTTCTGCTCACATGTGTCGCAGGTGGCTCCACTGCCCCACGCCGATGTGGTCTTTCTCAACTGGCACCACCACGTACAAGTACAATCGCCTGCATATGCCAGCGCACCTCGTGCCTTCTCGCTCGTGCTCACGCGTCTCGCGCCGCCCCACGCTCTGCGGCTGTGCTCTCTCTCCCGGTGCAGGAGTACTTCCAGTTGCTGCAGAGCCAGTTGCCAGCCCTGGCGTTTGAGCCACCTCGACCGTACTGGGACGACCGTGAACGCGTGAACGCTTGAACGCTGAGCTGCGAACTGCGAACTTCTCCCGCGCTCTCTCTCAGATCTCGTTATTCTTCACCACTCATTGTGGTAGTAGTAGTAGTAGTAGAGGTGGGGGTCGCTGTAAAAAAACCCAGGCGGCCCGTGGTGAACCCTAACTGTGTCAAGTCTAACATCACATTAGGTCATCTGGTCATGTCAACGGATTCCTCATTGGGAATTTCAATAACCAGCTGGTTTTTCACGTTTCACCGGCCAACTCACAGTATCTCCTATATATGAACGTGTTACTTTGCGCGCGCCGCCTTTCACACACATTACTCCAATCTTCGCTTTTCAATTCTCCTCTTCGGCACTGCCACTTTAAGGCTTCTCATCCGCTGGTGCCCGCAATACCAGGCTTAACCCCCCCCTATAACTCCACCCATAGTGTATCCGAGTCCGAGTCGGTAACACCTTCTTCGCAGCAAGGGAGCCAGGAGACTCGACGTCAGTCTAAAATGAAGGCTCTGATCGAGCGCGAGCTAAAGGGCGCAACATATTATGTTGACCTGACCACCGAGGATGGCATCCTTCACGCGGATTCCAGGATCATGGAAGCCGTGAACGACAGCTTGCGAGCCACCTTTCTGGCGCTAACCTCTGGGGGCCACTCGTCCGCAACCAAACCCCGGTTCCCCGTAAATCGCTTTTCACGCGAAACTCGATCATACAGGCCTTTAGTACACCTGCTAAACAAGATCATCGATACCGCCAGTCGATACATGCCACGATCTCAGCTCAGTGAACTCCGCTTTCATCCTTTCGGGGGCGAAGTCAAAGAAACACTGGCATACGGCAGCCATGGAGGCTTGAAGCCGGACGGCGTTGGCATCATCGGCAAGCTTTCAACTAAAAGAAAGAAATCTGCCAAAAAGCCTGCTAAAGAGCCCGAGTTATCTTGGGGACAAATCGAAGTTTTCATCGAATCCAAGTCCTCAGTGAAGAAGGTGCTCCGGAAATCCGGGACCTATGCCCGTTGTTCTCTCTTTGGCAACCCAAGGCGCTTCTTCTCCCTCGGCATAGGTTTCGACTATAAAAAAATGGAAGCATATGTCCTTGTTTTTCATCGGTCTGGGCTTTCATCATCCCGGCCTCTCAAACTTACGACACGCGAAGGTTTCAATGGTTTTGTGAAGCACATCGTCGGCATCCTATCCTTCAAGGATGAGGCCGCTTACGGCCTGGATACCACGCGCTTTCAAAAGTTCTTTCGTATCAACAACCGCTACTATGAAATTGGCCGTCTCCTTTACATGAGGGGAAGCTTGCGGGGTCGTTCCACTACCGCATACCGCTTGCAGGGTATGTACACATGCGGATTTTGAATGTAGGAGTTCACTTATTTATCACATACCCAGCCACCAAAGACATACCTCAACGTGACCTGGAATCACGGACTCTAACATTGTCCGAAGGGATAACTCACCTCCCGGATGAGTTTACATACAAACTGACATACCCCGTCAAAGGACAGTCTCAGGAGGGCCCACTACTTTCCAAATTTAACGGCCAATTTGGCATTGCAGATGTCATCGGTTACCACAACTGTGGGCCGGAAGAACCCCATGGTTCCACAAGGCGACTTTTGAAAGATGCCGAGTCTTGGAAAGTCTTTGGACTACAGGACGCCCCTGAAGGTAGGCGTCGTGAACCTGAAGAAAGAGGACTTCAATGCATCGCTCTGTCGGGGAAGGGAGAGGCCCTTATAGATCTCCAAAATCCACATGGAGATAAACCATCTCCGGGCGAACTTTTGGAGTCCATTCTCCATGCTATTATCGGTAAGTAGTGTCCCCTCTATGCCTCTCTTTTTTCTCACGTTCTCCGATCTAGGTCATTACAACCTATTCGACAAGGGTATCCTGCACCGGGATATCAGCGCTGGAAACATATTACGGTGCTCAGAGCCCATCAGGCGCCCGGCATTAGACAGGTACTAATGGCTCCTCGTTTGATGCTTTTGTCAGTCTAAATGTTGATATCACTAGGTTTGAGTGCACAAGAAGCGTGGATTTCTGTCGGGGATTCCTCATTGATGGAGATCAGGCGGTTCATTGGCGTCAATTCTCCGGCTCACATACAATCTCAGTATGTGGTTGGATTTACATTGTCTCTTTGAATACCCTAAACTTACAAAATGTTTCTTAGGGCACGCTCCCCTTCCTCTCTGTCCGCATTCTAGAATCTTGGAAATATCGACAGCCAGTGATTCACACTGCCCTTGATGACCTTGAGTCATTCCTTTGGGTCCTCCTTTGGGGTATTGCCTACACTTCCAAGGATATCGAGGCGGCAATGACCGCTAACCGAGGGATCCAAGTCATGCTCGACGCGTGGTCGGGTGACCTGATGACTAACATGGCCAAAGTTACAGCCGCAAGGAGGTGGAAGGACGCTGTCTTTGGAGATCTCATCCGAGAATGGTTGGATATATTCGACAAAGCAGATGAAGAAAACAGGCGAGTCACCGAAGACATGTCTTACATGCGTTTGGGTAGCCAAGAATGGGATGACGCATGCAACGAGCTTGAATCATATTGTAAGGATATTTACAAGGAGGTTCTTGAGTCCGGGTTCAAATACCTTGAAGGAGTTAGAGAGTACTCTGACTGGGATAAGGTGGTGGCTGAAAATATCCGTAGGTCTGTTATGATACGACAACAATAGTAGGCAGGGGGTGCGAGACGGAAAGAAGGAGAACCAGTGTTTGCAGACGCTACAGTGGGTAAATAGACGTGATCGATGCTCATTTGATTCATCTTGTCGGGCAGTGCATACGGTATTCGGTCACGGTAATATAAATCCTAAAAGGTAACGATATCATGCTGTGTGATCATTGTAGCGGCAGTAGTCAGCGCTCAGCGCTCGGCACTTGTTGAGCCTCCATCCATCATAATAAAGATCTGAATTCACAGTGCACTGGCACTCCGCGTGAAAGAGGCTCAAACATTCTCAAGCCTATAGAGCACACGCGAGACGCCGAGCGCAATCTGCTGCTGCACGACAAATGAAATTCATTGTCACCTGGAGGTCCGCCGGTCTTGCATCTGTCGTCAAGCATATAATTAATAATGATAACTCAAGAAAGGCATACCAGGAAGAGGAAAGTCTGTTCCAACCGATGACTCGGAACTATTTGTCCCCCAATACCTCGCTCATCGTAAATGTTGGCAGCAGTGCGGCGCCGAGAATATCAGTGTGTGCAACCCCCGCATCGGCTCGTGACGTATACACGTACGCCGAGGGCTAAGCATGGCTTTAATCAGTA